CATTACACCTGCCTACTTTGGAAGAATGCATGAACACTACGAAGTGTGTCAGGGCCAGTGTAAGATGTTCCAATTCTTGTAATAAACAGCATTCTGAGAGGGGCTTAGACAACTTCAAGGGAAGTAAAACTCAAGAATGAAGAATACTGTAGTACAAAATTATGGCCAAAAATACTGTATTTTTAACCAGCAAGTTCATTGGGGCATTATTATACAACATTAGGTGTTTTTTGCAAAACTAGTTCCCATCCCCAAACAATAGACAATACATGCATTTGAATGACATTTTAAGAACAGTAAATATGATTTTTTTTAAATACTGCAAGTTAAAAATGTTTTCTGACAAAACTCCCTAAATACACAGATCTAGTCAGGGCTTCCAACATGATGATGGGTGGGAGTTCAGCAAGAGGTTGCATTTAGAGTCCTTTGAGGAAAAGAAATCTGCCAGAAACATGTGTTTCAATCGAAGTAACCTGAATGAAGTTACACAGCAATTTTCCACCTTTCTTTCCTAAACCTAAAAACACTTTACTGAAGAATACCTTCCTCACTGATATTTTTTTCCTGTCTACCAAAAGATTCTGTGAAAGTCAGAATTCCTTTATCCAAGTAAGATCCAATTTTACCCAATAGCTATTTTTAACATGTAAATGTTATTAATCATTGGGTTCCAATCCTATGGGGATATGGAGGATCTATGGTAGATACAGAAGGTATAGAGGAAATTAATAACTGAGCATCTCTGAACAGATAATTCTAGAGGCAAGAATGCTGTTGAAGTGTGGCAGTACTTGGGAGACAGCAGGAAATGGTGTTACTATGAGAAAAAACATGTAGCAAGTTCAGAGGCTCTGCATTACGTTCTCTGCCAGATGGCAGGTGTCTGGCTCCAAGACCTCTTCCTAATCACATACAACTAAGCCATTTATTTACAAACTGCATGGAACCAAAATGGAGTCCCAAGTCACAGGCACCAGGGCAGATCTAGTACTGCTGCAGATGTTGGAAGTATGTAAGTCTAGCTTCAGTTTTCATGTATGTTTCTAACCAAAGGCAGATCTTTGGAAGAAAATGTTGATGTCCACCAAGCACACCTTATTTGTATCAATCAAGATGTTGTGAATTACCAGTTCAGTGGTTTGAGACCCTTACTGAATTTTAAGAAGAGCAGCAATATACATTACAATATTTGGGTACACTTTATTTTTATATGGGTTAACATTCTGTGATATTTCATTTCATTCATTCTTAAGAAACCGAGAACAAAGGGCCACCGAGGATGATCTGAAGGGAATTCGAGGGAACTGCCAACTAAGATCTGAGTCTTGCAGGATCTCATTATGAAGCCCTTTCTTCCCAATATTATATTTTTTTGCAAATAATCAAGTTATTTTGACCCCAATCCAGCATAAATAGCTTTTCACCAATTCCTAAGACAATTAAAATTTACAATCATGTGGCAGTATACATTTTTAATTACAATTCATATAACTTGACAATTGAGATAGTCTGAAGTACAAAGAGTAAGTTGCCCTTTAGCTGAATTACCTTTTAAAA